CTAACGCCAAAGGCTGTGTTTGGCTTTTGAAATGTAGAAAAAAAACTTGGTTTCCTTTGAACAAGTCCCTCTCTAGAATCCCTGACTTCCATGTTTTATGATAAATTGTATCTGGCCCTTCCTCTGCAATTTAGTATCTGAAATCTGTAAATATTAAGGGCTAGATTCATACCCCCTACCCCTACATGTAAAGAAGAGTTGTGACTTCACCACCCTCACAGAAATGCACATGATTTAGGGGTTGCCCTGAAAAGCATTGATAAGGGGAGTATTGGGATTGATTCTTAACCACATATCACATCAAACAGGTTGAATACGGGACCAAAAATGAGGTGGTGCACTGTACACAAACTCTGAGGTACAATTATTATTTTATTAGGGATATTCCTTCATTTTCTGTTTGAACAAGGTTTTATAAATCTAATTCTATTTTACTTTCTTGCTGTATGCAATTTTCTGATTTTGGGTACACTCTAAGCATGGATCCTACAAAATGTTATATAAATGTGACCCTAGAACTGCTCCCATGATGCAAATACATTTTTACCATTTTAACAAGAGGACAAATGTCTTGGTGGAAGATCCTGCATGACCTACCGGAATAAAAGCTTATCTGAACACTGAAACTTTGTGCCTGAAACAATTTTCTTCAGAAAAAGAGAAGAGGTTAGTTACTGTGGAAAGGAATAAATCTGTTAGACCAGATTGGTGGTCTAACAGATGGTCTGGATAAACATGGAGACTGTCAGTTATATCGTCTAAAGAAAGAAAATCAGAGAGAGAATGAAAAGTTTATGGTTGCTAAAATTGCATACCATGTAAGAGTGAAGAGTAGAAGAAGAAATAAAGGTGAGGAAAGGTTTTCTTTAAGTTTTGAAACAATATTAGTTACAGCAAAATATGAAGTTGTGAAGCTGTGAAGTAAGAGGATTGGGGAGTTATCCTTTCAGAATGATCCTTTCTGTAGTAAGTCTTTCTATATTACCTGGGAAATAATGAACCTGTTTCTTTTCTGGGATCTACTTCAGCTTCCTTTTATTGAGATCTGTTTCCAAATATTATTGAAGGAAAAGTCTGGTCAGCAAGGATTAAACAATGGTTCACTATTTATACGTAAAACTAATACGTTTGCGGTGATTTAATAACTGTAGTGTAAATCAGTAAATAAATAAAATCAATAATTTTTGCCACGATCACTGAGTCTGGGAGCGGCCATTTTTGCCCAGATATAGTAACCCCTCCCTCCTGCCATCTTCCAGCAGTGACGTCACGGTGCGGTAAGCCTAGCGCCATTCTCCCCGCTTTACAAGCAGAATCAATGGGAACTACTAGACACATCTGCAATCAACAACAATTATTGAAGATTTCCAGAGGACTTCACCATTGAAATTCACCAGAGCTATAGTGAAACTGACAATGCCCACATGCATGGCAGCTGGATGCTGGAATACATCGGGGAAAAGTGGAAAATAGTTAGTTATTTCACCTTTCTGATTCCTGATCCTCCACGGACGGGTTCGTAGTTGGATCGCCAACTTGAAGAGGGAGGATTTGCCTTCGAACTTCTGACCAGAGAAAAAACACGTAATGTGTAGCCAACATTTGGAAGAAGAATGTTTTCAAGATGACTTGGATAATAGCGCGTTGTGACAAACACCAGAGACAGCACTGGGACTTGATCAACAGCCGATACCGCACCGTGACGTCACAAACCAGTAGGTGGCAGTAGTGTTCTTTGACAAACATGGATGCCTCCAGTAAAGCACATTCAAATGAAAATTACTCTTAATTGGAACAATTATGTACAACAGTATGTAATAATTCCATATTTAAAGTACTTTCAGAAGTTTGTCTCCTCAATGTGACCAGACTTCTACTTTAATACCTACAAAAGCTACAGTGAGGAAAGTAAGTATTTGAAAATGCTGCTATTTTGCCAGTTCTCCTACTTAGAAATCATGGAGGGTGCATGTCCACTGTTAGAGACATAATCTAAAAAAGAAATCCAGAAAGCAGCCATTTAAAATGGCCCTTCCCAGTCAAACGCCAGCGGAATGGCTGCCCAGTTCCCTGCAACTTGGAGAATTCCCTCCAACTTCCAGCCACAGGAGTGACGCCAATATAGCCAACATTTTGAAGAAGAATGTTTTCAAGATGACTTGGATAATAGCGCGTTGTGACAAACACCAGATACAGCACTGGGACTTGATCAACAGCCGATACCGCACCGTGACGTCACAAACCAGTAGGTGGCAGTAATGTTCTTTGACAAACATGGATGCCTCCAGTAAAGAACATTCACATGAAAATTACTCTGAATTAAAAACACTGATCATTTATTGAAAGGTATTGAATAATTTCAGATTTAAAGTACTTTCAGAAGTTTGTATTCCGAATGTGACCAGAACCTTTCCTTTAAAATAGCCCCTGGTAGATGTGACCTCCAGGAAACCAAATAGAAACATTTATTTACAGAAATTTCTTTCATTCAGTGTCTAAACCAGGCGAAACGGATGATGTTACTGAGAAAAGCCTCGAGGTAACTGATTTCCTTCAGCTAGAAGCAGTTTCCCAAAACGAAAGCTTTACGTTGAAACACATCAATCCACTTAACCCTCATTAAACAAGACGACACAGGGAGCGGCTGCTAATGGTACCGTTTCATTTTCCTCTTAATCCAACAGCATCTTTAACTCAATTTCATATGATTCTCCAGAGACTGATTGATTGGTTTACCTATTATTGTTTGATGGGTTTTGTTTCTACAAAAACAACAAAAAACAACAACAACAACAATAAAAAAAAAAACCTTTAATGAGCTCTTTGTGGATTGTGAAAAGCGTCCTCACTGAAAGTGCCTCGTCTTCTGAGTGATCTGGACTTCCTGTTGCTGTTAGGCAATTAGCTGACAGCATTTTAGTACTCATAATACATCGGAAACAAGGAGACACCAGGGCTGTTTATGCTTGTTCCTTACATGCATAGTCATGTAGGGTAAAGTACAGAAAGAGGAGATGCTTTTTACTGATGTCAATTATTCTGCTTAGTTCCCAAAGGTCAGTAAAGCTGGGGGAGAAGATGAAAGGCTCTGATCAGAAGTCATTTGAGGTTTCTTGAGGGATGGAGTACTTGCAGTTTTGCTGTACATGATGAGATGTGGTTAAAGCATTTATTGAGTAAATGCAAGCTGGGAAGATGTTCTGCTTCTGAAGGAGATGAGGGATGAAATAAGAATGAATAAGAGGAGCCTTAAGACACTAACATCCAATAAATGTTGTAAGCACTACAAGACAGACAAAAACATATATACACATAATCCTTTAAACTTCTATGTCAGAATCCAGATATTTTATGATGATTATTAGGTTGATTCTATGTTAATGAACATATAGAGAAAACGTGTTTGCTAGTCTTGATGCTTTCAAACTGAAACAGAATAACTGGAACTCTCTTTGACCACATCCTGCATTAAAGCTCAGCTGTTTCTCATCTTACATCTTTCTGACACATTAAGATCCATGAAAGTCTTCTGAACATAAGGTCACGTTTCGAAGAGTTCGTTGATTCATGGACTTTGATGATTTAGTCTAAAGAGTTTCATTGAATATGAGGAATGTGAGCTTTTAAAAATTCTAGGGCTGCAACAATTATTTTGAAAATCGATTGATGAGTTGATTATTCTTTCCTTTGATTAATAGACAGATGGGAAAAGGTTTGTTTTTTTCAGAATTGAACCAGATGAAATTAAACTTTTCCACTTGAGGAGTTCTGGATAGAGCAGATTGACAGACAGAAAACATTTTTTTTAAACTTTAAATGCAAAATGTTTATATTATCTTTAACAATCTTGGTGTAATTGCTGCTATAACTGGGTCGCTCTGTCAGCTAAAGCCATGTTTTAGTGATTAATTGATTATTAAATTAGTTGATTAGTTAATCTGATTAATTGTTTAAACAAATCCTTCCTAATAATCTACACATCCTGTCTTTGGTTACCTTAAGTTGCTTCTGATGAAGCTCAGAGGAACATGATTCTGTAAAAAGTGAATAACCCTTAAAGATAAAGTACTGGACCCCAACTGGAAACTGTTTCACAAATCTCCATCTGACAAGATTTAAACATATTTTTGCTTTTCAGTCTGTTTTTTTCCTTAAAACGTAAGGTCATTTAGAAGAGAAGGTGTCTAAACTGCAAAAACTGTAATCTGAGTAAAAGTTTCTTGAAATAAGTGTATTTTCCCTTTATTAAAAGTAAGACAGCTCGCCAGTAGAATAGAATTATCTACCTTTAAAATAAGAACAAGCACCTCTATGATCTTATTTGCACTACATAATATCTATTGAACTTACTTTAGGTGTGAATAATACCCAATAAATTGGCAGATTCTCCTATTTACCTTCTGAAATTAAAGGATGATTCAGTGATTTTTAGATATTCTTTTTTTATTTGTTGATCAATCTTTGCAGTTTGAACTCTTGCACAACAAAAACTGATCCAAAAGTAAGCAAAAATAATTATCTCTGAATAAGAGAAGTTGCCTTTAAATAAAAGGAATGAGATAGAAATAAAGGGAGAATGACTAGGTTTTAAGATAAAATCATTGATTTTTCTCATTTTAAAGTAAAGTCTTCTTCCTTTTTCAAAAAGTGTCTACCGGCTCAAAATAAAGGAAAAACATTTATTTAAATAAAAAAACTGACTGAAGTTCACTTTAGGATCAATAAAATAATGATTAATAAAACATTCTAGGGAATCACATTTTCACAAAATGGAAATTACTTGAAGAGAATTAATATTGTTTGTACTTATTAATCAAAACTCAAATCTTTAAAAATCATTATTCCAGCAAATTAGGAAAAATGTCTTAATTGGATTAATGGTTCCTTGACTTCGATGCTCTGATGGTTAACACCACCATGTGGGATTGGGAATGATCTCCTCCAAAGAAGGAGTCCTGCTTTAGTTAACAGAATTTTCCATCATTTTCAGATCAACTCACCAACTGTTGTAAAGACAGTGCAGCAGAACAACATGGAAGCATAGAAATCCCATCTGCTGGGGCTCTGGAACCATATGGAATTGAACTCCTTCATTTGGTTCTTTATATCTTCCACTGTGTCATTAATTGTGTAGGAGCTGTTTTCTGAAATCGAGAATAAAAAAAAAAACAACTTAACAGAATTAATCTAAATAAAATAAAAAATAGCTAGATAGATTTTCTTGTTATATATTCTAATAGAGCTATTTTAATGAGATGCTGCTTTATCATAGAAACACCTACTGATATTTACGTGGACGGTCTGAACAATCCTCTCCAGGAATGCATGGTACTCCTGATCGGTGCTGGATTCGCTCCCTCCTTCCACCTGCATGAAGATGAGCGCGCCCAGCACGGTGTACCCCAACAAGGTGCAGAACAGCGTCAGGTGAGGAAAGAGCCTCCAGAAGCGCGCATAGAGCTTCTTAGACTCTGGCACCTGTTCTGTCTCGGTCATCTTGCCGGTCATGGTGCAGGATGCTGTCTGAGCCTCCAGCTCTGGAAGGAGGGAAAAAAACAACCCCGCAGCGCAGCTTTAGACGTGCACGCTGCGTGAGCGCGCAAATTTCAACGCAAACAGCTGCGGAACTTAAAATCCTCCTTCTCACATATAAAGCCTTAAATGGCCAAGCTCCATCTGATATCAGAGATCTGATTGTTCCTTATGTTCCTTATGTTCCTAACAGAGCACTTCGCTCTCAATCTGCAGGTTTACTAGTGGTTCCTAGAATTTCTAAAGTACAATGGCAGGCAGATCTTTTAGTTATCAGGCTCCTCTCCTGTGGAACCAACTACCAGTTTTAGTCCGTGAGGCAGACACCCTGTCTACTTTTAAGGCTAGGCTTAAAACTTTCCTTTTTGATAAAGCTCATAGTTAGAGTGGCTCAGGTTATCCTGAGCTACCTCTATAGTTATGCTGCTATAGGCTTAGACTGCTGGAGGACATAGGAACCCCTTTTAAACGTAATTCCCTTGCCCCCTTGCTTTGAGTATTCGTGGTTTTCAGTATTTTGGGATTTTTGTGGATTTATGTTTTTGATTTTTGCTTCTGTTGAACTTTTGGTTAATTAAAGCTTCAGGTAACCACCTCAAGCTTTGGTCTGCATTTAGGTCCTGTCAAACCTCCACCCTAACCTTGACAGACAAACTTTGAATCAATTTGACTGTATTATCTGGTGAACTGTAAAGTGCCTTGAGATGACATGTGTTGTGAATTGGCGCTATATAAATAAACTGAAATGAATTGATCATTTAGATGACTTCATTCTGCCATTAATTTCTGCTTCATCAGCCACCCTGCCTATTAATGGTAGATGTATCAGCATCTTTTTATAAAAAATATAAATCTAAAAAGAGTATAATTAGAAAGTTCAACATTTTCTGTTGCTCACGGTAGAAACTCACATAGCTTACAGTAATAAATGTAATAATATACATTTTTCAAGCCTTTTCTCAGGCCAGCTGATAGGCCTGGGATAACACACACACACACACACCTCTACACAAACCCCCCTGGTAAAACTATTTTATGTTGGGCGGGGTCTAAAGGCCCCTTATTTAAAGAAAAAAATATTACAAATAACATATATAACATACATGTGTGAATGGTTTGTCCTGTTTGTCTCTGTGTAGCGCCATGATGGACTGGCAACCTGTCCAGGATGTGTCCCTCCTCTCACCCCTAGACATCTGGAGATAGGCACCAGCACCCCTCGCGACTCCACTTGAGATAAGCGTGACACAAAATGGGTGGATGGATGGATGACTTGACTTTGTGATAATTACATTGATGTATGCTGCATTACAGAAACCTGGCTGCAGCAAGAGGATCATGTGAGCATAAATGAGGCCACTCCTTCTAGTTATTTCAATTTTCACATACCCATAAGTTCTGGGGCGAGGAGGAAAAGTAGCCACAATCTTTCAGTCTGACTTATTGATTACTCCAAAGGCAGTTATTAGTTACAACTCTTTTGAACATTTAACCCTTAGTTTCCCTCATCCAAATTGCAAATCAAGAAAACCTCTTCTTTTTGTAACTTTGTATCTTCCACCAGGTCCTTACTCAGAATTTTTAGATGAGTTCCTCTCTGATTTAGTATCAAATACTGACAGGGTCATCATAGTGGGAGATTTTAAAATCCATGCTGACATTGAAGGCGAAAGCTTAAGAGCAGCCTTTAATGCTATCTTAGACGCTATTGGCTTTGTTCAAAATGTGAATAGTCACACACATTCTCATCTTCATACTTTAGATCTTGTGCTGACATATGGCATAGAATGTGAAGAAATAACAGTATTACCTCACAACCCTGTCCTCTCCGACCACTTTTTTTAAACCTTCAGGATTACTTTATCAGAGTTCTCCTTCCCCAAAAGAAGGTTTCACTTTAGCAGATAATTATCAGATAGTGCAGATAAACATTTTAAAGAATCTTTTTCACTTTCTCTCTCCTCTGTGTCACTGAGCAGTGCTGCAGAGGGCAAAAGCTTGGATTACTCCCCTTCACAGGTTGATGATTTTGTTGAAGGGGTTGCTAGTTCTCTGCGTACTGCCTTAGACAAGGCAGCCCCTTTGAAAATGAAAACTGTTAAAAAAAGAAAACTGGCTCCTTGGTTTAATGCAGAGCTGCGTATTTTGAAGCAAAATGCTAGGAAACAGAAGAGAAAATATCGCTCCACAGGCCTACTGGAATCCTACCTAGTCTGGAAAAATTGTTTACTGCTGTATAAGAGGACCCTTTATGAAGCAAGAGCAGCATATTTTCCTCATTAATAGAGGAGAATAAGAATAATCCTAGATTTCTATTTAATACAGTTGCCAAACTCACCCAGAGCCATAGCTTAGATGAACCGTCCATTCCACCTGCTCTTAGAAGTAATGATTTTATTGAATTCTTTATAAATAAGATTGATCTTATTAAAAATAAGATCATTAGCACTCCTCTAACTATGATTGGTTTATCTCTGGAAGGTGAGGCAGCATCTGAGGTAGCCATAGAATCTGAACCAGGTTTAGACTGCTTTGATCCAGTTGAACTTTCAAAGTTAGCAAAACTATTGTCGTCTTCTAAGCCTTCTCCTTGTATGTTAGATCCAGTTCCAACCAGGTTATTTAAGGAGGTATTCCCTTTAATCTCCTCCTCCATTTTAGATATGATTAATCTCTGCTTAAGAAACCGTCTCTTGACCCAGATGACTTGGTCAATAATAGACCGATATCCAATCTTCCTTTCTTATTTAAAATTTTTGAGAAAGTAGTTGCCAAACAAGTGATCGATCACTTACACCATATTGAACTTATTAAAGAGTTTCAGTCTGGCTTTAGATCTCATCATAGCACTGAAACAGCTCTGGTGAAGGTTGCTAATAATATTCTCCTGGCCTCAGATAATAGACTTGTATCTGTGCTCGTCCTGTTAGATCCCAGTGCTGCATTTGATACAGTTGATTATATTATTCTTTTAGAAACACTTGAATATTTTGCTGGAATTAAAGGAATAGCATTAGACTGGTTTAAATCTTATCTTTCTGATCAATTTCAGTTTGTTCACGTAAATGACAAATCTTCCTCATGCTCAAAGGTTACCTGTGGAGTACCACAGGGATCAGTGCTAGGACCAATTCTCTTTACTACGGTATATATATGCTCCCAATCGGTAGAATTATTAGACAGCGTGGGACTCACAGTTATGCTGATGATACCCAGCTATATCTGTCTATAAATCCAGATGAAGATAAGCCATTACATAGATTACAGGGATGTCTCCAAGACATAAAAACCTAGATGACTCTTAGCTTTCTCCTTCTGAATGCAGACAAAACAGACGTTATAGTCTTTGGACCAGAGTCTTTGAAAAATAAGCTGGTTAGCCAGTCACTTCATTTGGATGGGATTAAACTGATTTCAGATAATAAAGTAAAAAATCTTGGTGTTGTTTTTGAAGAGGTTTCTAGAGGTTTCCTTCTTTCATCTGCGGAATATTGCAGAAATTAGAAATCTCCCGTCCATAAGTGATGCTGAGAAACTAGTCCATGCAATTTTTACTTCAAGGCTGGACTATTGCAATCTAGCTTCATCTGGTCTGTTCCTATTTGGCTGTGACTCCATCCTGGAGAGAAATATCAGCTGTGCTGCTGCCATCAATATCCTTGTTTTTAGACTTTGGACATCAGCCTCTTTTCCAGTGTAGTCTTGTGTCTCTTACAATGACTGGCTGGATGTGCTCTCTTCATCCTCTGACATGGGAGCTGGCTAGGAGTGTTTCCTGGATGGTGCCACCTTTTACAGTTGCTTTTTGTATCTCTGCTTCTGTCTCCTTGAACCCCAGTCGGCCTTGGCAGATGGCCGCTCACACAGAGCCTGGTTCTAATGGAGGTTTCTTCCTGTTCAAAGGGAGTTTTTCCTCTCCACTGTCACTACAAGCAAGCTTATTGTGAGGGATTACATTCGAGTCAATGAGTCGATGCAATCAACTGGTTTTCCTTAGATAGAAAACTTTGAATCAGTTTGACTGTATGATCTGGTTTAACTGTAAAGTGCCTTGAGATGACATGTGTTGTGAACTGGCGCTATATAAATAAACTGAATTGAATATAAAATGACACACTGAGAGAGTTGAAGGTGGAGAGTGGAGAAGATTAACTGTGAGGGATGGCATCATGTACCCCTGCATTCAAGACTGTCAGAGAGGAGCAGTGGAACAGCTTCTACTGACAGATATGTTGATACAGTATGTTGAAAGAGCTGTGCAAATGTACTGGCATCATTAAAACCCGCACAACACCAAGCCAACAATTAGGTTCACCCTATTGAACATTCTGGGGATTTTAGAGCTTCACTTGAAGCCCCACTGGCATGAGCATTTGGATGCTATGACACAGACATTGCAACTACATTCTGTATAACTCGACTGGGTTTATTTCACATTACCTGATGCTCAGTAGACACCTGAGACTCCCAGTCGACCTGATCTTTGAGTTCCCAACCAAAAATTATTCCTGTGGGTACAGGGATTATGTACAAACTCTCCTCAACTGTTTGTCACAGGCTTACGTCCAGGCCAACCAGAAGTTGTGGCATGCTAAGGAGCAGCAGAAGGTGTATTATGACAAAAGAGCAAAGAGTCAAGTCCTCAGTCCAGGGGATAAGGTCCTCATCAAAGTTTAGTGAGTCAGAAACTGGGAAACAAGTGGGACTCGTCCATGCATTGTGGTGAAAAAGCAACCAGGCATCCCAGTATATGATGTGCAGCCAGACTATGGAGTGTTCACTGCATTCTCCTTACAAAATGTATGTTTCAGCAAGTTGAGCAGAATGGAGGAGCAGTGGGAGAGGAAGCTGAGCTGGTTTTGGAATGGAGCGATGCAGTCCCTCAGTTGAATAAAGCTGGGGACTGGATGATGAAGGAAAATGTGGAGGCAATACAAACTGAGAGAACAAGCAGGCACAAGGAACACACTAGCACAGAGGACTGTGTCCTGGAGGATACAGAGGAAAATGTAGATAGGGCACTACCTGTCACA